GGTGATAGCAGCAAGCAAGGAGATGAATTGAAGAAGCTGCTAATCTTTAAGGTTAAGTGAAATCATGAAACAAATTTTAAGAAAGTTAAAATACTCTGTGGAAATAAATCATTAGTAAAGTGAACCATGTTAAAATGCATACATAACCAAAATTATTAGAGGGGAAAATAACATTTTAATTTGGGAAGACATTTCTATAAAGAACTAGCTTTGGGGGCCAGCAGATGGCATAATAGTCACATTGCTGGACTCCCATGTAGTCAACCATGGTTTAAGTTCCAGACCCGGTGGCTTAAAACTCACGCTGGGGACATGTGTGTGTATGCCCAAAATCCCAAGAGGAGAGTGGAAGAGAAGGGATTGCAGTATTGCCATCCTCCTCTCCCTGGGGGGTGATTTCTCACTTTCTGCCTGTTTCTCTGTGTTTCTCTGGTGAGCACAGGTGCCCTATAGCAAAAAGGGCCCAGGGCCCCAATAGAAAAAAAAAAAAAAAAAAAAAAAACCCAAAAACAAAAAAATAAAAACAAAAACAAAAACAAACCCCTCCCCCCCAAAAAAACAAGTTGCTTTGAAATAATTAGTATATATTGATTTTTATTTGGAGCAATCATAAAATGCACTCAGAAAATTGATAAGGCATCCAAATAGAAATAGTGGTAGAATAAATTCATGGAAAATATACATGATTTCATGAATCACTCTTGGGAGCAGCTCTTTTGTGCAAGTGTCTGGCTCCACTTGGTACTGAAGAAGGAGCTCCCATTCAGCTGCTATCCTGCTCTTCCTACCTCCCTTAGGACCAAGTTTTATATTTGTGTCTCTGAGTTTTGGGGTCCTGGCTGTGGGAGTCATTGCTTTGTTCAGGCCCATTATCTTCTCAGTCTTTATTTCCTTTGTAAAACTCCAGTCTGTCTTTCCTGAGGCCTGTGCTCCACAGATAGAAGTAGTTGAAGGGCAACCCAGAGTGTTATATCTGCATTTTGTTCAGATAACAGATACTTGTTGAGTCCCGTTATGTGTGGGGGAATATGCTAGGCACAGGCTCAGAGGCAAAAACAAAACAAAACAAAACAGACATGGCTCATCCCTTGCCAAGCCTAAAAATACAGTATGTTTCATGAATAAAATAGACATGAGTTGGTTTTTTAAAATCACTTAACTCTATTTCAATAGGATTTTCTTTTCTTTTTTTTTTTGAGAAGTGTTTGCTATAGGGTGTGTGTGCTCGCCAGAAAGACAGAGAAAGACAGAAAGACAGAAAGCAAGAAATCATCCCCCAGGGAGGATGGCCATGCCACAATCCCTTCTCCTTTCATGATTTTGGGCATGCACGCACACACGGTTGGCGTGAGTTTAAGCCACTGGGTCTGGGACTCGAACCATGGTCCACTACATGGGAGTCCAGTGACATAGCCATTACGCCAACTACTGGTCCCTCAATAGGATTTTCTAATGCATTGTTTTCATAAGACCAAATATAAGATTTTAAAAGGAGTTTCTTCTTAAGGCACACTAAATAAATTGCTTTATTAACATACACTGACCTATTTATACTCACTAAGAAGTAAAAGATCTGAGATTGAGGCAGCAAGCAAAACCCAATGTGGTAAGTGGTGGGATAGGACAGAAAGTGGGCCTGGTGGGGATGAGAGGCAGAAAAGATTTTGCAGAGGAACTGATACATGGCCGGCACACTTGAAAGAGTAGGAGCCAGTTGGGCCAAGAGTAAGGATGGTGTGTTTGCATGAGAAAGAAGAGTTTGTACAATGTCCCAGGAGTGAGAAAGGACACATTGGGTGGGGTTGGCAGATGGTATGGTGGTTGAGGCGCTGGACTCCCACATGGCCAATCACAGTTCGAGTCCCAGACTTGGTGACTTGCTTTCTCATTCTTCCTTTCTCTCTGTCTGTCATTTTCTGTTCAAAATTAAAGAATAGTAATAAATAAAATTAAAAATAAATAAATCTTTTAAAAAAAGATAAAAGGGCATGGTAGGTTTGAATGGGAAGACTTGGCTGGAACTTGGGCATGACTTAGAAAGTGCAGACAGAGGGCTAGGAAAGGAATTAATAAGAGCTTTGTAAGATGTGTTAAGATATTTAGATTTTATTCTTAGAGCCCAGAGGAGCCTCAGAATATAAAAGCAGGATAGTGGCATGATGGGATATAATTTTAAAAAAATCATTTTGGCAGCATGGTGAGGGAATAACTGGCAAGGGAAGGCTGGAGGCCAGGATTATGCATTGGGCTGTTGGAATAATTGGGGTAGGAGATAGCAATGGTGGGTCCAGGGCAATATTGATTTTGCTTGAAAAAGAGCTAGAAAATAATTGATTTGATTGTGCATGTGTGTTTGTGGGGGTGTGGAAGGTGGTGTGTAGAGTGAGGAGGGAGGGTTGAGTGAAGAGGGTAGAATCTAGACTAACATTCATGCTTCAAACTTCATGGTGTGGTAGTGAATTAGGAACAGATTGGTGAGGATGGAAGACAGTCAGTTTTATTTGGGACACATCCAATTGGAAGTCTCTGTGAGTGCCTAGTCTAGATGGACCAGGGGCAGGTGGACTTGCAGGGATGAAGCTCAGAAAAGAGCTTTGGCCTGAGGAAATTGCCAGAAAATTACTGCAGGGAAAGGGTGACAAATGGAAAGATCCACATTATTAGATTTCTCTCAGGCTACTGTTTGTTTTAATTTGGCCTGTTTTTGTATTCCTTTTAATTCTTTGAATGTGGGTCAGTGTTTATTTTCATAACTAACAAATAAGGATTTTCTGTGTGATGATAATGAAGAAAAGACCGCTGCTATTAAAAGAGAGAAAATGAGAAGAGAAAGAAAAAGCAAAAGTCAGGAGAAAAGAATCTCAGAGACGCTTGGGAGAACAGCTCCACATGGGTCCTTCTGTTGCTCCAGGAGCCAGCCTCACTTGTGACTCCCCTCTATGAGTGTCTTCCCTCTCTATTGTGTATTTCTGGTTATGTTTCACTCATCTCCTTCCCCCTCCACTTTTTACCTGAATGTCACATCTTGCACAGACTGATATTTGGGGTCAGTCTGGCCGCAGGTACGCAAAGTTCTTCTGTCTTTTTAGCAAAATTGCAGTATATTTCACTAATATAATAGATGCTTTTTAAAAAACACTTAACTCTATTTCAATAGGATTTTCTTATGCATTATTTTCACAAGACCAAATATAAAATTTTCAGAGGAGTGTCTTCTTAAGGCAACCTAAATAAATTGCTTTATTAACACACATTGACCAATTTACACTCACTAAAAAAGAAACTGGTTTGCTTTGTTTTTCTTCCTCGGATATAAGTTGAAGACTTACAAGTAGTTGTAAATTAGGTTTGGTTACAAGGAATTTAATTGTGTATTAATGCTTATTAAATTTTTCTTTTTGCCAGTTTATCAGTTCACAGTTTTAATGTATTTTGGGCAGAAGAAAACCCAAATTTGTCACAAAAGGTTTGCATTATGAACAAGATCCTGTTGTGCATCTATTTTCATTTAAGGAACAGATTCAATTGTACAAATTCAGCAGATTTTCTGCACTAAACATGTTAGTTCAGGACTTTCACTTGGTTATATAAAGATACACATCTTCTGTGGATAGCCAATCCAAACATAAGACACAGCCAATTGGCCTCTGACCCAATTCAACTCTCCCATCTTTTAGCTTGCAAAACAACTGGCTTTGGGGGAGAAAGTGAGTCAAAGCAATATTTAATTTGACTGGTTATTAAATATTTTCTTCTGAGACTTCATTTGTGATCCTTTTTTTAGGACTAAAATCTACAACATATATTACATTATATAAACTCCAGAGAAGACAAAACACTTAAAAGTTCCTTTAAGGTACCAGAAAAATGTACCTTTTGCTTAAAGTTAACGTCTGTCCAGATAAATTTTGTTTATGATTGTTACTTCCTCAGTTTGTCTCTATTAATAAAGACAATTCTAAGAATAATAATTATGCCTGGATGTTGGGATTACCATGTGGTTTTGTACTTAATTAAGAGTTTTTAGTTCTGCCGACTAGATTGCCAATTGCTATTATGCAATAGAAGAATGAAGATGTTAATTTGATTCGAAGACTGTTTATACAGTGACTTTTATAATCTATATTAAAGATGGAGAATCAAGTTTTATGAGACCAGCATTTCTGGTCAAGTCCCCACTCCACCCTATTCTAATAGGAACTGACCCTTAAGTTGAATAAAGAACAAAGAGTTCTGTAGTTAAAACCTTT